AGCATTCAATTAAAATTCTGCTTATTCTCTGCCCCAATTCTATTGAAAATTGCATTCAATTCAATTCTATTGAGGCATTTAATGACAATCGTAGATTATGGGTGACGATTACAACCAAAGTATCAGGAATTGAAAAATTTAAAAAAGAACCTCGCGCTTTTTTTTTTAATTCTATTGAATTCCTATTGGAACTCTACAAGAATTCTTGAAATTCTATCAAATTTCCGTTAGTAATTTGCGCCAAATGTATTAAAAATTAAGCGACTTCCGTGCGTTTTTAAATAGATATTTGTTTGGAGCAAAACGTCTACAGATGTTGATTTTCCTTATAACTTATTCCACTGGATTTTTTTAGAGACAGGGCTCACTCACCGTATATGGACCCCGCACTAGAGGCGTCAAGTCGAATCAAAGATCACAACATTGAAAATCCGCACGCATTTATCACTCACATGTGTCAAAAAAATCTCAACAATAAACCCGCAAATTGTAGGACAATAATCTCTCGCGAAATAAAAATACTTTATCCTCATTCAACGGAAGGAAGTGGCGACTCACCTAATTCTCGAGATGGTGTCCAACGATGTGTCCTAGGAGGAGTCGACGGAGTCTCCGTAGTTGGAATGAGAGGCCCCCAGGACCTCTTGTCACACGTACCCCGCTCAATCAACAATATTTTGGAGAGAGGGAGGAGGGTCCAGTGGGGGGTTCACACCAATGTCCGGACAATTCGTGAAGGTTTCCGCCCTTCCAAACCCCCGTTTTTCCTCGAAATCACCTCGAAATACCCGGAAATACGCTTACAATATTTTAATCGACGCGATTTTGGGGGTGAACGGGGCGTTAGCGTACTTGACGACAATTTCTGTCGTTTGGAAGTGAATGTTTGACGCACAACAATATCAACACATACGCGTGGCCACTGGCAACGGTTGACTGTGCTCAACTGGCCGACCGGCACGCTCGTTCGACTGACGCTACTGTTGTCTACCAGTTTTTTTCCCCGTACCGGAGAGTTCGGGGAACCGCACAAGTCTAAACTTCACGGGTATATTTATCCAGTTACGTTGGTGGTGCGTTAACTTTTCGGTTTTTTTATCATTTCAGTTTTCTCCCGGTGTCTGGTGTTGGAGAGGTTTTTGGGAACGAAAGGTAGGTGGATATCACACTATATAAAGAAGGGGCTGTTTGCAGGCTGGCCAATTTTACGAGGCCAGCTGTCTCACTCACTCCGACTTTGTGACTCGTAATTTCCAGTCTTTGGTCCTTGGAGTACTAGAAGGTGCGCGCGCGCGAGCGCGCTCATCTCCTGTGTTTATGGGGGCTTAGGAGCCACTCAAGTCAGTGAATTTCTATCGGCTTTCTAGAGATAAATTTTTTGAAAAACGATGGATTTTGTAGATTTTTGGGCAGAAAAGCGGTTTCTCGCTAATTTTATATTCATCGGAGAATTTTTTCAGATTAAAAAAATACGAGTTTTCTTGATTGTTTTCACGATAAATGATATTTCTGTTGAATTTTTTTTAGAGAAAAACTAGGGATTCTACAGATTTTTGTTTAGGAAAACTGAGATTTCTCGCTAATTTTAAATTGATCAGAGAATTTTTTCTGATTAATAAAAAATACGAGTTTTCTTGATTGTTTTCAGAATAAATGATATTTTTATTGAATTTTTCCTAGAAAAAGGGTGAATTTTCTTTTTTCCTTTTCAGAAAAATGGAGATTTTTCATGAATTGTCCAATAAAACGAATTCTTTTTTTATTCCGCAAAAACTTCGAAAATTGTCACGATTTTCCCGAACACCGCAGTTTTCACAAATTAGAAAAATAAACATTTTTCTGGATTTTTTTCTTGAAAAACTAAGAATTTAGCAAATTTTTGCTCATAAAAATCGGGATTATTTCGTAATTTTTTTAAAAACCCGACGAATTTCCTCAAATGAATATTCAAAAAACTTTTTTCTCGATTTTTCAAAGAGTAAATAAGATCCTTCTCGAATTTTCCCCAAAACGAGAAAAAAAAACAATTTCCCTGAATTTTTCCAGAATAAATAAGATTTATCTAGAGAAAAACACCACAAAGCGTTCATCTTTCAAAAATACAACCTCTCACACGCATGTGTGTATCCCCGCCCTTTTGTTACCGGATCTCGACTCCATTTTGGCAGACTGTACAGACACACCGCGGAAACGGGTTTTGACACGTGCCACAGGCAAAACCCCCGTTACGCATGAATAACTAAATTCGTAAATTTTTCCGTTCGCGAATGTATTCCGCTGGCAACAGTGCACGAAGCATGTTCGAGACACATCTCGATGAATTTTCAGTTACTCCAGCACTCTCCACCTGTCAAAGTTGATCACTACTCGATTATCCATTTTCCCCCACCCCCCTTAAATCGAAGGAACTATTTCTGGTATCGTAAATAAAATAAGAACATTTAAAAAATTTACATTACGTTTATTGATGATGACTTGCTCTGTGCAATGATTCACGTAGATTACGGTATTCGAATATTACAAATTAAATAAAAAATATGTACGTTTAAACATGAAACGTACACTGGATTAAACTGGCATGTTGTGTATTCATCATCTCGTGAAAATGTTTACTCCATAAAACATCCCATTTGTCACTTGCTGAATCGTTATAAAAGACTACAAAAATGCGCTGCTAGCCAGCTGTTTATGAAAAATTCATCATCAAGTGGCAAAAGCTGGATTTTCAAATGTCAATTCGAATAGTTTCATTTATTCAACTCGCTTTTATCTGAAAAACAAATCAGGGAGATTCATACGCGACTGTCATTACAGTAAACATTACGTGTCCTAGTGACAATTATTGTATTTTTAAGTATATATAACCAACGTACAAATTATAATGTCATTACACTAGGAAACGGGAGTTTATTGTTTATGTACATACACATCACGCGGCTCCAAAACACTGCGGAGGGGTGAATTGAAGGGGATTATTGAGGGGGCGGGGTTGACGTGGCCGCGGGAAAATTGAGAGAAAAATGACAGGAAAATAATTCGATGATATCATTGGGGGGGAAGGAGGGGGGAGGAGTCAATGAACGTGGCTGTATACCTTACGGGCATTTTATATAATAAAAATGACAAGTATTCCACATTCTTACCAACTACTAGTATCAACATTTATACATAATATAAACGACATTCCTCACATACGCAATTACCACTCGTTCACGAGCAATTGGCCACATCTTATAAATTTTTATAAAGGTGAACGCATTCGGTTGAATTGATTTTCATCATCAATTGTTTAATTGTAGTTTAATTGATGATAATGATAAGCATGATGGATTGGAAATGAGACACTAGGCCAAGAAATAAGTTCATCCACGATTAATTATCGTGGATCAACTCGTGTCGTATTCATTAATTTCATAATTACTTTGTCGTTAACTTGAGGAATAAACAAATGATTATATTATTCACTACTTGATTCATTTAATTACTTAGTAAATTCGTTGCTGCTACTATTTATATCATTCGCTAATTCATCGTTACGTGAAATTATAACGCGTTTGGTTAATGGAAATTAGGTAAAGTACTTTGAGGTGCGAACGAAAAAATTTCGTAGAAACACCGACAATTGTAGAAGTTATATTGAAATTTCTGTTAGTTGTTGGCTGAGTCTGTTGAAATTCAGCAGATTTCTTTGCGCGTTATTTTTTCAAAGTAATGTTCAGTGGAAAATATTCTATAGAAAAAATCAATAGAATTCTATTTTTCTATACAGAACCTATTCTACTGAGATATTTCTATGGAAATTTTCTCAAGCTTTCCAAGTTTTTTAAAACTTTTTTTTTATGAATAGAGAAAAAATAGTCTGGAACAAACTTGAAATATTCATGTCCGGAAATTCCTGTAGAAAATATCTCAATAGAAAAGATTGTATAAGATGAAATTCTACTGATTTTTTCTATTATATAGTTTCTATTGTTTTTTAATGCAGTAAAGCTAATTTATCGAATTCACAAGATTTCTCTATGAAATTTTTTCGTGCGTAAATTGGTCAATTGATTTTTTTTTTTTCAATAATAGATTAATTAATTGAGGTGAGATCAATGAGCATCGGTCTGTCACATTAATCAGAAAATCAATTCATAACATATTTTAATCGTTCATACCAAAACAATTTTTGCTACACAAAAAAAATAAGTTCGAGAATTATTTACAAATACGCGTATTGCACTAGTCTAATAGAGGGAAATGAGAAGAAATGAGGGAGAACTAAATATTTTTTTCAATGACGGAGCCACATGATTGCAATTATCGAAGAGAGAACGAAGAGGGAGGGAATAAAACTTTACACCATTGTGACAAGACCTCGTCCTGACCATTTAAAAAAATTAATAAAAAATAATACGTTACGTTTATGCGATAAAAACTTTGAGCTCAATTATCATTTCGATAAAATAAATGAAGAAACCACAGAAGAAATTGGATAAGAATCACTGAATCATTATTATCGGTGATAATCAAGATAAAACGACTGCCATCTGAAGTGTTATTTTATACGCGGGTGTCAGTCCTCATTACAGAAGGACATTTAATTGATTTTATGACCTTATTACATACTGATTATTACCAGAGTTACAATTACGTAAAAATAATCGTATTTGGATCGACCGTTTTTTGAGTTAACAGATAATTCAATTGATAAATCAATCCAAAATTCACAATTTCACATGTTTCTTTGGATTACACAATTCCAGTAATAATGATACTACACCGTTGAAAATTTTTTTGCTGAAATTTCATGGAAAATGAATGGAAAGTTAATTCCAGTTGAATTATTCCACGAAAATCCACAGAAATCAGGCAAATTCAGGTAAATATATTCTTGAATTGTCAATAAATTGAGAATTCAACATAATTTGGTACTGAATATTCCTTGACTTGAAGAGTTTTCAGTGAAATCTGAAATTTGAACTGTTTTTTCCCCTAAATCGAAATCAATAGTCAAATGTCCATGAAATTTCAATGATTTTCTGCCAGTGTACGCTATAAATCTTTTCATTTTTTTCATTGAATTCTTGCTTTTGCTACAGTCGATCGGTCAGTCTGCTCCAAACGCTGGAGCCTTGAGAGAACAATAAATTAAAATAAACGAAGAAAAAAAAACATTTAGCTGCCCCACACAACCTCAGACATGTTCAAAACGTGTGAGAGCATTGTTTTGGCATCACCAGAGTTAGCAAATACGAGATAATAACTCTACATACGTAAACATCACAGTACGTATGGATCCAACAATTCATCAAATAAAAATTGTATAAAATTGTTCTGTCATGTGTATCGACATACGTTATTATAACTGTTAATAATAATGTTGTGGATGTGAGACTGTGTGCGATTTTTTTCATGTGTGCTCACATATTATACGCCACGTAGATTGGGTCCAATTGATCAGCCAAAAATCCATCTCTCAGGTGCATTCTCTGTTTTTCACCTCGTGAATTAATTGGTACAACACCGGGATCAACTACCACAACAACACCAACGACAAGGTGATGCTCTTCGAGGACAGCACTTGTTACTAGGGCAACGAGATCCAGGGCTTCGCTCTCACTGCCGTTTAGCTCGACAACAACCACGAGTAAATTGGTCCATGTGAATACAGCACTGGAAATTGAGACGAAATGTTGATTTTTTAAATCATTAAATACCTCTTGTCAACAGGATTTCAGAAAAAAACAACGGGTAGTAGTAATTAATTACCAATTTTCATTAATTATGTCCAATTAATTTCAAAATTTAATTCATTAGGAAATGAAAACCAATAAAAGGTCAATTAATGAACATGATATTGCGATTTTAAGAGGGACAAAGTGACATTTCATTGAATAAAATATTTTTACTTCAATAAATATGGAAATTTATAAATGAATCGTTTTGGTTGTGAAATTAATTTGATATCAACGAACAGATAATTAATATTGCTATTAATCTCATGGGATTTTAAAGAAACTCATGTATAATAGTATGTAATTACCAATTTTCATTCATTATTTTCAATTAATTTTATCAATTAATTCATTAGGAAATGAAAACCAATAAAAGTTCAATTAATGGGCATGATATTACGTTTTTAAGAGGGAAAAAGTGACCTTTCATTCAATGAAATATTTTTACTTCAATAAATATGTAAATTTATGAATAAGTCATTCTGATCGACAAATTGATTTGATATCGATGAATTGATAATTAATTAATATTGCATACTGAATTCTCTAAAGTCCCACGACCCACACCCACGGATAAAAAAACATCGTATTTCACATAATAATAGATAAAAAGAAATTATGCATCTGGTGGGAGGATCGGGAAACACTGGGTTGCGAACGTTAACGGAATAGATAAGGAGTTCACGACTATTTGTAGATATGGAGTTATGTGAGGAGTGCCGTAACACTCGTGTGAATCATGGCCATGGCCGTTTAAACACGTTCCTAGGATTTATTGACTGAGATGAGATTATAGGTGTGCAAACACGTGTTTTCATCATTCTTTTGTGAGGCTTGAGAGTATTTCCAGAATGGGGGAAATGTGAGGGAATGTGAAAAATTTGTATTTTGGGTGATTGATGCATTAGAAATTTACGTTTCTCTCGAGTGCAAAACGAAAGACGTTTATTTTTATATAATTTTTTCTTTCGAGTGCATTTTATCGAAATGACTGTCTAATTTATCTGGCCTTTAATTTCATAATCATTAATTGATAAGCGCAATTCATCATAATATTTCTGAATAGAGTAAAATGATAGCAAAGTAATAATGTTGTGAGGCTCGAGAATATTTTTGGAATGAAGAAAACGTAAGGAAATTTGAAAAAATTGTATTTTGATTCATTGATGCACTAGAAGTTCTTTGCATTAAGAATACGAAACAGATGTTTTCCCCAAAATACGATTTTTTCATTCGAGTGCACTTTATCAATCAGGATGTCTTTTAGATTCCTCTCACCTTAAATTTCATAATCATTCATCTGTCATTCTATTCATCAGTTTCATTAATTTTAATATCTCCAACTAGATCAGCTCTGATTCTCATGATTAATAAACTGAATAAATTAATTAAAAGTGATAATTACCATTCAGCAATTTTCTTGTGACACCTCATGACACTGTTCTCAATATCAATGGGGTGATACCGCATTCCCCTGAGAAGAATAGCCTCGTCCAATGCCCCAACGACGAAAACAGCATCATGCAGCTCAGCATCACCCGGCGCTGAGATGTCCAAATCCGAGACTGACGTGTCACTGGCCGCACCAGACACGTCGCCACCGACCGCAGACTGTTGAACGCACTCAGTGCGCCTGAGAAATCCGAGATATCCAGTTCTAGCGTAAACCTCGCCAGTATTTCCAGTGACAAGACGAGCATTAAAGTGATCAGCATAGTCACTCTCATCCCCATAAATAGTGAAATAACCACTGGCATTGTGAGCCGATTGCACCCAAATTTCACCGAGATGAGAGTCTCCACATTGTCCCTTGGTCTCTGGATTAGCAATGATCACTTTGACACCTGGAAGCAGCTTGCCGGATTCCATTAGACACAGGGAGTGTGGGCTACCCCGTTCCACCAGTGAAACACGATCGTTTCTGAGGGCTCGGAGGTCTACGTAGACGGTCGATGGCTCGGGACTCGAGGCGCCCTAAAACAATAAACCAGGGTCAAATTCTTCATTCAAATATTTACGTAGGGATCAAATTATTTAGGTGAGGCAAACATTTGAGCCAATTTAGAATTTCTTCGTCTAATTGAGATGAGGGAGGAGTTCATTTTAGAACAGGTCGGTTTTTGGACCGTATTGTTCTGTCAAATTGTGAATTGTCATTGTGACACGTGAATTAATAGTTTTTTTTATTATTTGAAGATTTCTCGTTTGGAATTCCAGGAGTAATTTTCTAAAAGTGTGCAATTAGTTTCTAAATATCTGATGAAATACAAATATTATTAATATTATTTCTGCAGCATCAAAAGCTAGTTTTTTTAGATACATTATTAGAATTTTTAAAAATTGAAGTAGTTCTTGCATTTGAATTTTCAATATTGCAAATTCGAATTCAATTTAAGACCCAATTGTTAATAAATTTTTTTATTTATCTTGGGAATTCATCAACAGAATTTTTTGTCAAAATAGATTTAGAACAACAATAACTTGAATTTTCCCATTTTCAATACCATTTTTTTATCATATGGCCTCAAAAATTGCCATTTCATTGAATTTTCCTGGAATTAATTAATTTGCCAGTAAAAAAATACATGAAATTCAATTTTCTGCATCAAAGAATGTCATCACATGTCCTCAAACTTGCGAAGAGAACCATTAAAACCCGAATAAAAAATGAATTTTTTCAAATTCCTCAAATCTCTCACCTGTAAACAAATAGCTGTATTCACCCGGCACCCAAACGACGTAGAGACAGCGCGTGGACTGAGCCCCAGCGCGGAGAAAAGTTTACTAAAGCTCGTAGTAAGTGCAATACGAGGTCTCTCTTCAGCCACAACAACGCAAGTTCGAACACAAGCCAAACTAACACCACGAGCCTTTAAAGCGTGTACCGAAGATCCCAACCCCTTAGTGCACAACTCCATAACTCCATACGAGCAGAATGTATCCCTGACCCTGAATTGACTGACAGCCGAGAGCCACAGTGCCGGATTAGCCTCGACTTCAGACGGTGGAATGAGAATAGAATGATGACCACTGTATATGCTGCTCAAACACCAGAGAGCAAAACCAAGTCCTGAATAGGGATCAAGGCAGAGGGCTATGTGACGAGAGGGATAAAGTTCACAGGCAAGTTTCATGGCACGACATAACGATGTAACAGCAGCATGTGACATCTTGATACCAGCTAACATTCCAGTTGTTGATACACTGAAATCCAGATAGGCTAGCATTTCAGCTGTTGGTGCACGATACATAACTGGCAATTTTTTCTTTGGCATATCGTCCATATCGAGTACAGTTGGCCAACTCTTGATATCCACGACATTATTCGCCTCCTTGCTCTTCAGTAATTTAACCATATTCTGATTAGTCAGGACGAGCACTGATTTACTGACGTCAACGATCATTCTCACTGTTGGTAGAGTTGTCTGGAGATTCTGGGGATGAGGAGGTCTTATTGTCACTGGCACTGCACCGACGTAGAGACAACCGTAGAATGCACAGATGAGGTCTGTCCCTGGGGGGAAAATTAAAGCTACATGATCTCCAGTGTTTATTCTTCCTTTGTCTAGGAGCAAATTGCCAATTCTCTCGGCCTTTTTGTGGAGCTGGGAGCAGGAGAGGGAGGTGGCTACTGCTCCCTTTGCATTGAGCAAGGTGAAGATCACGTGGTCTGATGTGCTTACTGCACGCCATCGGAGAATTTCGGAGATGAATTGGTACTGAAAGAATATTTTTTTAGTTATTGCGAGGGCTTTTAGGGCAGGGGGATTTGGGGAATTTTCGTTCAATTATAAAATATTGATGTCACGTTGCCAATGCACATGGCATTCAACGTCAGGTGCAACAATTTATTCATTCAAAAAGAAGAATAAAGAACCCATAAAAAATTGATAAAATACTGTCAGAGTGAATATGGATAAAGTGTGAATGTTTCATTGTTTTCTTTATTTTTCCAGACAACATTTTAGGGAAAGAAACGAACGAAACAATCAATTTATATTTGTTCATTTACCTTTTTAGCATTATCACTCTCTTCATCCAGAATTCCAAGATCGCGTCCCTGAGCAGATGCCAAACGATTACCCTGGACAATGTTACCCACCATGACACTAGCTGGACCAACGTCTGAAACAGAATCCCCCGCTACACGCCCCCGCACCATTTCGTTAGTAAAACAACGCAAACACTCAACCCAATTATGAAATAGCGTTTGCTTTCTATTCATTTGCCTTTCATGATGCTGAATCTAGGATAAATCGCAAGCTTGCAGCTTTCGTAAAAAGCGTACGGCATTAACAAAAATTTTAATCAAATAATTGGGTTTAAAATTTCTTAATTAGATTGTTCGAGGGGAAACAACTGTGAGTTTTCAAAGTCATGGGCTATTGGAGTGAGATCTCTCGTACGTTGAAAATTAATTATAAATCTATAAAAATGGAGGATGAGTGTAAAAAAATGTTATTGTTGGTTTGCCCGGTGGACGTTGAAAGTATTGAAAATAATTTCAATACTAATATAACATACCAATTACTTTTTCTTTCAATTCAACGTCTAAATAGCCAATTTCGTTTTTTTTTTAACTAAAAACTGCACTATTCATGCAAAATAGCTAGTATAAATAGCTAGATAGCGCGAAAAACTACTTTGAGATGGAAATTGAAAGGAATAATTCACAATTGTTATTCTGCACATTTTTTAAAAATTTGAAAACAAATTTGCAGCTCAAGCGAACAATGACTAATTTGTTTTCCCCCTAATTCTCCTTTTTTAAAAATTATAATCGATCTTCAACTGATGAGACATCTTACGTCAATAGCCCGTGACTTTAAAAACTCATAGTAGTCTTCCCTTAAATGATAGGAGAGAAATGGGGGTAAAAGTGCTTTAAAAACATCGAGAAAAAAAATGAAAATAAAAGAGAGGTGCTCGCTAGCAAATCAAAACTCGCCGCACGCTTCCACACCATTGAACACACTTTTGCAACAAGTGTCAATCAACCATCACGTTGAGTCGAGTATCTGCGTTTTCATGTAAAATTTCATATGATTTTGAAATAACGTTATTTTGATATTAAGCGAGCACTGGAAGAACAATGGGAGTATCTGGCATTGTTATTCGTGGATAACTTACCCGAATGCACTTCACGTGGCTTCGGCAGATTCGTGACACAAGTGTGTGGACAGAGGAGTACATTGGCTGGATGTAGGGTGCCTTCTAAAAATCGTCTTTTTGTCTCGGAGAGATGAATACCACCGAGGGGTGTTTTTGGTAGGTAATTGGGTGGCACTAGGGCGAGACAATAGATGCCAACAGCGTGAATTGAGTCGACTGCTTGGAGAACTCTCGACATCCATTGAAAACTCTGTGGAATAAATAATCGTGAATGGGGGGATTTTGACGAATTTTTGTAAAAGTGTCTCGATTGCATCATTACACTGCTTTAAAATTGCATTCAATTGAATATCTAATTGTTTATGGGATTTCTTATTAATCTTGAAAATGCGAGCATTAATATTTCTAGGCCGTGACTATTCGCACCATTGCGTGAATCACTCCCGTACACTCCATGCATGCGTGAAGTTTGTGTGTTTCACGCAGCCGAATTTTCATACTGCTGTGTATTTCACGCAGTTGACGTTTCATACTACTGTGTGTTTCACGCAGTTGTATTTTTATACTACTGTGTGTTTCACGCAGTTGCATTTTGATACGCCTGTGTGTTTCACGCAGTTGTATTTTTATACACCTGTGTGTTTCACGCAGTCGTATTCAGATACTCCTGTGCCTTTCACACTCCTGTGTGTATAAACACACAGGTGTATAAAACTTCAACTGCGTGAAACACACAGGCGTATCAAAATGCAACTGCGTGAAACACACATGTGTATAAAAATACAACTGCGTGAAACACACAGGCGTATAAAAATGCAACTGCGTGAAACACACAGGCGTATAAAAATACAAATAGGTGAAACACATATTAGCCTTAAAACCTATTCCATTCGATTCCTGAGGAAATTTGGGTTCCGTATAGGCAGATGGACGGCTCAGGTTTGCGTTTTTCCACTTCCTAGGCCTTATACAAGATGAATTGAATTAATTTTTTTTGGCACTTTCGTTTTTCGCGATTATCTCGGAAACTATGA